CATCGTATGAAAATACATACTTATATTTTGATATTTGCCTTGAACATATATTGAGAAGTTAATATTTTAATTTTGAAATATGTCATTGTTTTTCTTAAAATGATTATAAATTATTGAAACTACTAAACATCTCACAATAAAAAAATTTCGTTGGTGTAAAGTTTTGTTACACAAATATGCAAATAATCATAAAATCATATGAGTAGAAACCTCATTTAATTAATATCCATATTAAAAGTGTGTTATATTACTATGTTTACATCATTTAAATTTAATTATATATCATATACAATATATAAGATTGATTATCTTGATTTATTTACCCTAATTGTGAATAAACAAGAGTAATAGTTAAATTTATATGCATACGCCAATTTATTACATAATAGTAACTGATTTCTTAGTTATTTAATATATATTTCTTATTTTGTTATTTATAATATGCAGAAAATATAAAATAAATAATAAATATAAAATACTTATTCTGCATAAAGTATTTTAAATCTTAAGTATTTTCTAAAACAAACGAAATGAGAATAAAATTCAAAATAAATATTTATATTGAGTAATAACCAAAATATAAAAAAAAACATAGCAAGAGAAAAATAGAAGATAAATAGGACTAACACGTGAACGTAAACTTCTCATAACCATAATTAATTTTTAAATTGTTAAATCATGATATAAAACTGAGTTAATTTTTAATTTGTTAATTTTTAATTTTTAATTTTTTATTTTAAATCATTATGGTTATGTTAAATCATGACCATAGTTAATTTTAAATTATTTATTTGTATTTGAAAAACTTAAAATATTGTTTTTAAAAATAATTTAAAATTTAACATAATTTTTATAAATTATTTTTAAAAATAATAATATGTAAAAAATATAATTTTCTAATATTATTAGACAGATAAATAAATTATATTAAATTAGTTTTGAAACTTTATATATTTTAAATGCAGATATTTTACCAATTGCTTCTTAAAAAAACATTAGGGAACTTGCTAATACTCTACCAATCAAGCCCAGTAACACTCCATTTATTTTCCATCACTCGAACACTAAAAAGTGAAAAGATATATGAAAACAGATCCATTAAATTCTAAGATTTGATCTACATTTCTAATTAAAATTGTTTTTGATCCTACATATAAATAATTATATAAAAATTTCAAAATTCTTAAATTTCAAATACATACAAAAAAATCATATGTAAATTTTTTTTGTCAATACTAAAATTTTATATTTTAATTATATATATTCACCCTGCGCAAGACGCAGGTCTTATCCTAGTTCTAGCTTTATTATCCGAAGTGAACTGAACCACAAACCACTCAAACCGATTAATCATAAATTTATTAATTTTTAACTTTAGCCAAGGAAATGTTTACATCAGATAATCAGTTCACAAAAGAGGCATGGTTTAGAATATAAAGAGCGCTTTAACCTAATAATTAGTTTGTGTATATAAGTATTTGACGGTGAAAAAAGTATTTGATTGTGAGCTTGAAAACAAATCTTATGTTGTGAATCATAAATAAGTAAATCTTCCTTTTATCACTGATTAATCTTATAAATAAAGTTTAACAAAAAGGGGGGGGGTTATTTATTGTATAAAAAAGATCTTTTTGATAAAAAAAGAACACATTGCCTTTAATTTATACTAGGATAAGATCCGCACATTGCGCGGGATGAAATACTTATTTTTATTATGTTTTAGAAAATGAAACAATTGTTCGGTTTCATTTGGATTAGGGGTATTCAATCCGGATATCAGACTTCGGTTCGGCTCGATTTTTCAGTATTTCGGTTATTACAATATAACTACTATTCTAAATCCATGTTTACTTTGGTTAGATTTGATTCAATATTCGGTTTTTTAGTTTATTCAGTTTTATACGAAAAAACATAATTATTTAGTTTGAGATCATATTATATATTATACAAATTTTAGAGTCTTATTGTCAAAAACTAATTTATTAAAAAATATTATATATTTAAATAAAAGAATAAAAAACAAAAAGCTTTATATCATCTAATAAAATGATCAAATCTAGAATTAATATCAAAGCTCTAAATTTTGAAAATAAAAATAAAAAACAATACTGAAGCATGAAAGAAAAGTTTTTATATTCTTCCATATTTAGTGTTCATCAAATTAATATGTCTTCGTTGAACACAACTCTGTTTGTTTAAAAATAAAAATAAAAGTTGTAAAGAATTTCAACTAATTGTTGTCCATCAAATTTATAATCTTTACTTCAGTTTAGTTACTATCAAAATAAAGCAAAAAGATAAAAAAGCCTCAAATGCAGTAAATTGTTACTTAATTATAGTTCAAACTTAATTATTTTGAATGTTTACAAACAAAAAAATATTGTAAATACAAAGAGGGATGGTTTTTATTTATATGTTTACTCTAGTTTAACTATATACGCAATAGTTACTCGCTTCTCAATTATTTAATATACTTATTATTGCATAATACGTGAATGAACATAAAATAAATAATAATATGTATAAAAAATGATGGGCGCGATATAAATTTTTATCAAATATTTATTATTAGAATCATTAATTGTCATATATATATATATTAGTTTTTTATAGTAATTCCGTATGTTTTATTTAAAGAAAAAAAATAAAAATACTAATTATATCTAGCAGAACAATCATAAATGCTTCTATCGTAAATCATATCATATCATCATATCATATAGTTTGACCAACGAATGTATCTAGCGACATATAAAAATCAAATGAGAACCTTTTTATTTTTTTAATTGATTGTAATTAACTACCTAATTGAGTAACACTTAAGCATGAGGTCTTTTTTAATTATTACAAAATTGAGGTTACAATTTTTTAAATGTTTATCTTTTAATATATAGGGGATGGACCATAATTCATTTTGAATATATATATATATATATATTAAATGAGATTTCTTACTTATCTAATTTTGTAATCATTTCTATTTTGTTATTAAAAAAAATTAACCATGGATCCCCAAAAAATTAATGTGAGATTTGGTAACAACTTTAGTCATTTATAGTCATTTAAAAAAATTCAAAGTATAGCATATACGAAAAATCTATATTTTATTATATAGTAAATGTAGTTGTTTCATTTATTTTAATAAGTTAAAATTTTAAAAATACACTAATTTTTTTATCAAATCTTTATTATTGAAAATCAGTAATTGTCATATATTATTTAACCATATTTGGTAATTTCGTTATTTATGTTCAAGGAAACATTGAAAAACATGAATATATCATTTATGATTAGTTTAATAAAAAACTTATTATATATTTAGATGGACCAATATATTTTTCTATGGATTTTAAGAATGATTATGGTGATGACACGTGGCTACAAACAAATGTTGTAATGCTTCTCCTTTAATATATAGACTAGGATAAGACCTGCGCCTTGCGCAGGGTGAATATATGTAATTAAAATATAAAATTTTAATATTCACAAATTTAAAATTTACATATGATTGTTTTTGTATGTATTTGAAATTTTAGAATTTTGGAATTTTTATATAATTATCTATACGTATGATCAAAAACAATTTTAATTAGAAATGTAAATCAAATCTTAGAAT